TAATCAAAACTGTACTGATGAAAGCCATGTTTCGTATCAGTTACCTACCTGTAAATAAAATGAAAAACTTTAATAAAAAGAAAAATCATAAGGCGGTCTTACTCAACAAGATATTGGCTATTTTGACAGAATAGGATTAGTTAATTGACTGCACGCATGGCGTAGTGGTTTAAGCGGTCGCCATGCCGCTTCCTACTACGCTGAGTGTTGTGGGTTCAAACCCCACATGGGACAACACTTTGTGTGATCCACAAATTGTTGTTCTGAGTCTGGGTCTGTTCTTTGTGTCCGTTTCATGTATGTTTGTAAAGTCCCCCGCGACACAGGATATATTCCTAATGCGGGAGTTGTCTTTTTGAATAAACTAAAAACTAAACTAAAATAATTATTGCAATGAAATAAACAAAGTACCGACGCCAAACTGATTTTAATTAATAAAAGCAATAAATCGCTTACGGCTGAACCGATTTTAATGTAATGTAAATCAATTTTTCATAAATATATTTTGATATTAAAAACACCGCGATTTTAATTATTTATTTATCATTTGATGCACGTTACTGGTACGTAAAGATGCGTACTATTTATGAAAATATACTTGATTAAGTCATTTAGTATTAGAAACTTGAAATATTTACAATCATGCAGGTCAATCATAATATATATCTCCTTTAGTGAACCCACACACAGTTGGGTAAAAAAAAAAACTAATAAATTAGGGACAAAAAGTTCAACCTTTCTCGGCTTTCTGTTCTTTTATGGAAGTATCTAATAATGCCTCTGTTCAGTATTTAATTTTTAATACGTACCTACAACACGCAAACATTACAAATATACTTATTACAACATAAATTAAAAGTATGTATAACAAATAGTAAAACTTTCTACGATACTGGCAAACTTTAACTTTTTCCGATACTGGCAAACACTAATATCGATTCACTTTACATTTTTTTTAGAAATTCCGAAAGCAAATGAGTATCGTTTATCTTTGGCATTGAAAAATCAAACAAGTTCATTTAAGATTGCAAGCACACACACAACAAGTCGTATTGGTCCCTTTGCAGGTCTAAATACGTGTTGCGGACGGCGGCGACAGCAGCGGCGGCGCTTTGTACGTCTCGATACCTTATACTGAATATGGAATATTATTATGCAAGTTTTTACAAGTAACAGTTGAGCTTCTTAAAATATTATCTGCCTACATTGATAGGTGAAGTCAAGCCAACATTTTAGTTCTTCACTATCGAAAGAAGATAAATTTTCGTGAACCCCGCTTACGAATTGTGAACCCCTAACAAAAGTCTTTTGACACGTACTAAGGCATGTGCTGAAGCAAATGTGATAAACTTAACTTTTTAAGTCTTAATAAGATAATAATCATCATTAATGACTAATAAAGAAAAAATAAATTTTAGTTAAAAAAAAAACTAAAAAAAACACGGTGTTGTAGCTAACCGAAGTAAAAAGTAGGAAATAATTTTCTATTGCTTCAAAAAGAAAAATCATTTTATAGTAGAGGAGCGTGAGGTACTTTTCAAGGTCTTTTATAATATATTAACTTTACTTTTGCCAATATTTGTCTGTAAAATATTGTTACAACAATTGAGATTTAGCACCCAAGGTTTTTTGTACTTATTTCCTACTTCTTAGTTCAGCTAGCTACAAAAACGTGTATTAAAGTTTTTTTTAACTATATTTTATTTGTTAACATAACGCATGATTTGTTCTTAACGTTATAAGGACGAGAAATGAAGCTAGAAGTGGCGAGACGGTAGTTTTAATAAACATAAACATTACACTTAGCGTCTCAAAGTAACATACCATGTATTACGACCGTCCCAGACTTCAGGAAAGAGCGTCTTGACAACACACTTTGGAAAATACAGGCTCCAAGTATACGATGACTATTAAGTTATTCAACAATATTTGAGGTTTATTTCTATTCGCATATGCCTTTGTACACGTACATATGTATATTGCAGCTTAAATAGGTTCATGCTCAAGACTTACATTTTTTTAAAGAAATTGTTCTCACTTGAAGTCATTTGTCATGTACACCTCTTCCCATTGTTCATACCCACAAGTTGGTTGAGTATACACATACTTACATTTGTACCCGCTCACAATTTTTTTTTACACATTAAAAATATGATTCACTTTTAAACTACCGAGTTCCATCCATCTAGTTATATATTACATACAAAACGGCAATTTCATAGGTAAAGACCTATTATTATATGAAAATGTAATGTAGGTTTGTGTACGCTTCAAAAACTCAAAAAGTTCTGTACCGATTGAACTTAAATTAGGATACAATGTATAAACCACTTCCAAGATTATTTTATCTATTTTTCCTCATTTCTCATCTACGCAACCACAATGTGACACACCGAAGCGTGGCAGGGTACGACTAGTAATATATCATTATGTTTACCGTTGCGTTACGGTCAGGTAATTTTGCTTAATACCCATCGTGAGCGCATTTATTCCCGTATACATAATTATATAAAGTATGATTGAGATCAAATTTGAATTAGAAATCAAATAACTAAAACCATTTCATAAACCCATATCATACTGTACAATGAATCAGATATTTACCACAAGTATCTACCTACGTAGCCTACCCAGGTAAGTTAGATTGTATTTAATTGTCAGGTAATCATATCGTATTTAATAAAGATCTCGTTGACATAGTCAGGTAACAACTAACATAACATATCCCCGCTGTATCCATTGACATCCTATAATATATTTCCTAGAAAAAGTGCATGTTACAAACTACTTATATTTTACAGTTCCTATCTATTTTAGGAATTGTACACATTTTCTAGAAATTATTACAATGACCAACTACATGCTTTTTCGTTAACATATTCATAATGAAACCTTTCTAAATATGAATATTTTTAGTGCTATATTTAAACCTATTTGTACTACTAGCTACTAATTAAAAAAACAATAAACTTTCCAACATCAAAGAAGCCTTAAAAACCGGATACCATACAAAACCTCATAGAAAAATTACATTGGATCGTCGTTCACTTGAACTAAATCATTTCACAGAGACAAATATAGTTGGGAAGTTACTTCTAGCGCGTGACGTCACATACTTAATTTGTCGAGCCTGTAACCGCGTTCTTGCGAGTACGTTCTTCGTAATCTAGTTCTCTTTGTCTGTCTTATTGCACCAGATTAAGGCTGCACAATGAAGTCGAAAATTAAACTTAACTAGTTAAACATTACTTCTTCAATTAGTCTAAACTGACATTGTAGAATTTGATAGTAAAGTAGTTTTTTATTGCAATCACATCACAGGTGTGCACTCTATGTAGATGAATTTAGGATTTAGATGAATCTGATGCATCTTAAACAAATAGTTATTCCGCTTTTGTCAATGAAGGAACTTAAACCTGAGCATAAGCCTACATGTTTAATATTGTTTTAAAAATACTCATGTTTTTTTTATATAACACTAGCTGACCCGGCAAACGATGTTTTGCCATATACATTATTTCTAGGAAATATTGAAAAAAAATATTTAGGTGTGGGTCACCCTTGTCATTTAGGGGTATGAAAAATAGATGTTGGCCGATTCTCAGACCTACCCGATGTGCACACAAAATTTCATAAAAATCGGTCCAGCCGTTTCGGAGGAGTATCGTAACTAACATTGTGACACGAGAATTTTATATATAAGATTTTGACACATCTCAATCACGGTCGTTTGACCACAAACTAGACAGAGCCTGTGTTATTCTAAACCGACTGCTGATAAGTATACTTATATATTTCTAAGCACATACATATTATAGATATATTACACCTAGACAAGAACAAATGATCGTTCTCGTCACACAATTATTTGTAATGGGTGGGATTTGAATCTCTGGCTCTAGCAGACAGGGTCACTAACCACTAGACCAACGGGCCAGTAATTTGATTATCTTAAGTTTGTGTGTACTAGATCTGTTTAACATTCTTAGGCATATCTTTATAACGTGTGGTAAAGTTTTAAATTGACTAAGGTAGAGCAAGTATGTTCTTAGTGTAGCAGTTTAACGTCAATCTAGATAAATATGGCATTAACCTGATCGAATAAATCAGCGTCACATAGTGCTTTTGTCAAAGTAAATCAGGTAGAATTATAAATCTAAAAACAATACATGTTTATACAATACATGCAGCATAATTACTGAGTAATTATTATATAGTACATATAAACCTTTATAAATAACTAGCTGACCCGGCGAACTCTGTTCCGCCTTAAAGGCAATAAATAAGCCGATTTTCGAATTTAGTAAGTATTTTTTTTTCTTAGAAAAAAAAATGAAGTATATTAATCATTTATTATTGTTTCTGCATTTCAGTACATAGGTTGCTCTTCACTTAAGTACCTTGTGATACACGACATTTTTTGTTTTCTTATCAGGCGCAAAAACAAACAACGCAGATGGTCTTCCGACCCGTGAACATGCCACATATAATTGACCATGGGAAAAACATGGATGTTCTAGATTCAAACCACAAACTTTTAAGGATTGGCCTTGTGATTTGTTGATGGTCATGGCAAATGCAAGACGGATCGGAAATTGATGTCTTTTAAATTCAAACGGCAAATCGGTTGGGATCATCGGGATCCTCGGAATGAGAACTTCCTCACCTTTGAATTTTCCTTTCAGTATAGTCGCGTAAATTACATTGTTCATCAATTTTCTAACCACCAAACGCGTACCGTTGCACAATTTTGGTTGGTTTATGTTTCGAAGCATGATTACTATGGAGCCAACTTTTAGGCGTAAATTATGCGGTGGTAAGCCAGGCACATCCAAGGAGTTTAAAAATTCAATTGGATAGTTAGTGGCTTCATCTTCATTTATGACGCAGTCAATAGATTTGAATGAATGCATTGTTCAAATGATCCTATTTTGAATTATATAGTTCAGGTCGTCTACATCTTTATTCTTAGCCGCTAAAATTGCTCGCTCACTCAACCATTAATTATTTTTGTAGTTAGAAATAATGTCTGGAAATACATTGTTGATAAGTTCGTCTTTTGATGAGACAAAATTACAGAAATTATTTGGAAATGATATCAATCCGCTCGATTCATCGACAGGTACTTGACCATTACCGATAGTCAGCAATTGCTCAGACAAACCTTCAGCAGATTTATCATTAAGCAATGCAACTCTCATGTTTGTTCTCAGCTGCAGTTTCTTCACATAGCGCCATAGATTCGACGATTTGAGGGAAGCGTTTATTTCGTCGGCAGCCGTAGATCTTGGAATTACTGGCAGTGTTTGGCGGAAATCGCCAGACAGTAAAATCATTGCTCCTCCGAAACATCTCGAGTCATTCCGTAAGTCTTTCAATGTTCGGTTAAGTGCTTCTAATGCACGTTTATGCGCCATTGTGCATTCGTCCCAGATGATGATTTTCGATGCCGATAAAACTTTGGCCATTGCTGAATTTTTCGTAATATTACACGTTGGTTCTTCAATAGTTTGAAGATTTAACGGTAATTTTAATGCTGAATGAGCCGTACCTCATCCTTCTAACAATATGGCTGCTATTCCAGAAGAAGCAACTGCAACCGCTATGTTGGATCTCGCACGAACAGTGGTTAAAACTACTGACATGAGGAATGTCTTACCTGTTCCACCAGGAGCATCTAGGAAATATAAACCACCATTTCCATCATCGATTGCCTTCATTGCAGTATCATAAACTTCCTTTTGTTGGGAATTCAACAGGGGTACATTCGTTTGAACTACTAAATCTAATTCCTGGTAATCATATTTACGTCCCCGTTCCAATTCTCGATTAAATGCGTCACTCATTTCACGATTGGGCGCTGGCATTCCTAACCTGATTAATAAAGTACCGCACATGAGGTAACACATATCTTCGATCAAGAGTAAAGCACGATTATGTATCTCCTCATTCATCTCAACATCGTGATTTCTGGAAGTGATACGAATTTGATGTAAAATATCTTCTGACATATTATCCTTATATTTGTGCCACAGGTTACATGGGTTTGATGGAAAGCATGTCGAAATTATGATAGCGAATAATGTGCGTATCTGACTTGGAGATGCAGAGATAATGGCTGCAGCGATTGTCGTATCCCAATCGGTATCGTTTTCTAATAAGTTCAGTTCTTCACATGCAGCACGATATGTTGGGAATATTACACCATTAACAGTCCGTAGTGTCTCAAATGACGTGGGCCCACGCACATTTACCAGCAACAACCGCAAATAGAAACATTCATCATTCTTTGGATGAACTGTATACATACGACCAAGAGCATCAGTAGAACGCACATCCGTAGGTAAGTGAGGTGCTGGAACTGCGTTGCTCTAACTATAACGACCAACTACCGTTTAATCTTTGGACCCATCGAATAGTCTAAAGAACTGCAGTTTTCAAAAAAGATTAGGTAACTAGTCGAAATTTGAATATTAATTAAAAAGTTAGTCAAACGAGGCATCTTCTATACCTGATGTCTGTGTTTTACCATTACTATTTAGGCTAAATTTGTTATAGCGGTTTTGCTACAAGTATTGAGTACCTGTTTGCTGTTAATAATATTTCAAGATCTCTTAACTTTATCATAACTACTTTTAATGTTCTTACTCGAAAAAACAACATTAATCTGTACTGTTCCATACAAGTAAGAAAAATAGTTCAACGTTGTTTTACTTTCTTTCAGTATATAACTCGGCAAATCTGTTCTGTGTAAACTCTTAAACACACACAACCCATTCACTACAGTCGCATAATCGTTAACTATAATCAGGTTGCAAATAAAAATAGAGCTAATTATGTTCAAAAGATGCAAAAACTAAATAAGGAAATAATAACATGGGTTATACTTGAAGTTTATTTATTAAAATTTCAATATTTAGAAATCACTTGTCAATTCAATTTATTTTATAGACATTAAATTTCCAGTGTTGGCTGTGATTCGTGTAGGCCCTAAAAATTTATGTTCTGATTAAATGTTCAAAATAATTGCCACTTTTGCTAAAATAAAACAAAGTTTTTAAATAACAGTAAACACAATGTTATATGAACCTCGATCAGCACTCAGTGAACGTTACCAAGAGAGTTTGACATTTATAGAGGGAATAAATACCAGGCCATTTAGAAAGTATAGCGAAAAAAGTTTTTATGCATGAAACCCCTGTTTATAGTTATTTGAGAATTATATTTGATGTTAACTTGATATCTAAATGCGTTTTTGAGAAAAAGTATCGAGATAAACATGTAGACAGACAAAGAGACAGTACGATCTTATAAGAGATCCTTTTTTATTTTGATGCATGGAACCTCCGAACTCCTTATTCTTGTTTTCAACTGTGGTCTCAATAACACAGCTGAATGTAGTTCTTGTAATCGTTTTGTCTGATCAGTGTTATATATATTAGAAATTGACAGAATAATTAATATAGAAAATTGTAAAGGGATAAAATATATTAAATTAAAACGAAACTTGATGTGAATCACTGATTTTTGTTGAAAAATTTATACTGAAGTTATCAATAAACTACATAATTGTGAATATAATAATTATTATCATTGTAACTGAACTATTTAATTACTTAATATTATGTAATTTTAGATACGATATCGTTGTCCATGTTGTATGCACCTGTTATTAGTTATGCAATTAGTTTTATGCGAGTAATGTGTGTGTCTCTTGTAATTAATTATTGTATATAACTGTTACTGAATTAAATAAATAAAGCAAACTATTGTTAACAAAGAGCTATTTGTTTACTGTTAGATTAATTGCGAAGTGCTAATGTTTTAATAAAGAATATTATTTAATAGATATAGTCAGAGCAAACCAGAGGAAAATGAAAAGCAAAGATCATTTCAAGTAAATCAAGTACCCTTAAGCGAAAATTTTCTCATATAAAAATTGTGGCATGCATTATATTTATAAACAATTAAATTTTGTCCACAACACATAACACAGTGAAAGTTATAACCAGATTAATATTATTCGAGTAGTTTTATCATTCTAGTTATTATTCTAAAAATTTCGTACTTACTAATTGTATTCTTTAATAATTCGGTACTTGAGAAATCCTTCATTTAAGCCATGTAACAAAACGTCTACATTACAAAGCCCACTATTCGTGTATCAGACAATCAAAAAAGAAAATACGGAATACAATGCTCTGAATGAAGATGTCAAGTATCATTCGTCGAGTAGATCGTGGTCTATCTCGTTTATGGCGACCGACGTTGCACTGGGGAGCCGCAAGTGCATCCCGTACTCGCTGCTTCAAATCGATTGGCAAGCCAATGCAAATGATTCAATAAGCTTATAAAAGGGGCACTAGTTACGTTTGAATAATATTTCATCATTACTGATTTTATGAAACTAAACATACGACAACGTTTTCAACTAAACATTATCTTTAGAATACAATACATACTTATTTCATATACCTGTTTACATAATACCAATAGAATAGTTAATGATAGACTTGTTTGTTTATGCAGCTTTATCCTTTGCCCCGTCACAGTAAAAATATCGTTTACAATTTACTTCACATAATAATTTACAGGTTTATTACGACACATAGAACCTGTTACATACTTTGACAGTTTTTTTGTCAAATATTTATAAGTTATAAGAAATGCGGTTCCAGCCACCGTAAGTTTTTCAAAACAAAATACATAAATGGTTTGCTAAATTTTTCGCTCCGTCGCTGAATATGATTTTCTCAAAAGACCACATTCGTAAAACACCACATTCGCAATTCGATATTCTCATAACATCATAATCTCAAAACACAACATTCTTGTGATACAACATTCAAAGCACAGTCTTTGACAATGTTACATATTTTCATGTTTTAATTTTTTTTTAAACGAAATAACAAACAAAAAACATATTCTTAAACAAAACAAAAAAAAAACTATCTTGATCAATTATTTCTTAAAATCAGGTTTTTTTATTTCTTTCTCCATATTATTGTGATATTATGTACCAATTGCATGTGTTTCAAACACACTTGAATGCATATTGTTTTTTTTTTACACAATCATTGACCATACTTTTATTTTCTTTACAACATTTTTTTTAAAGTGACTATACTATAATTAACCTCACATCATATCGACTTAAAACCACCATCAAAAAATGGCTAATACCTTAGGACTATGCCGATATCGAAAATCTGCTAAAGATTGGTATCTAATATTACGCGCGCACTACCTTACACGTAGAAACACCCACACACGGACACACACGCACACGAGCACTCACATACATACTATTTTATATATATTTATTACTTACTTACTTCAATAGCAACTACACAACATACACAATAAATACATTACATTTTTAGTACTATTTTTGAACTTACGGAAGGACCCCACGACACAGGAAATCCTAGTGTACTCATAAAATTTGTGTACATACAACTGGATTGATCCATTTTCAGAATTTGTCTCACATGAAATATTAATGTCTACATATTGCAATAAAATATGACTAAACGATGCTATATTGTCGTTTTTAGTCATAAGAGGAAATTATTTGCCGCAATGTAAGTTTCAGAGATTTCGTATGTAGATTTTACTAGTTGTACTGGTGCATAACGCCGCCCGTCGGCATTCTTTTTTAAAGCCCAGTGTACATTTCACCTTTTTTAAATATGATGTTTAGAGAATGCTGTGTTTTGTGAATGCGGTCTTATAAGATCATGATATTTTGAGAATATCATCAATCATCAACAGCCTATACTAGTCCACTGCTGGACATAGGCCTCTCCTTAGAAAGGAGGTTTTGGCCTACTATACCACGCTGGCCAGACGGGTTGGTATAGGGTTTGTTTCAAGTTTTCCTTCTCTTTGCAGTGCTGTTGTCCTGCTTAGTTTGCTCCCTTAGTCGGCTCTTACGACACCCACGGGATGAATTGGGGGGTGACAATTGGTATTCTTAATCCGTCACCACACGGACTGAGACATTTGAGAATATGATATTTGAGAATATCGTGTTTTGCGAATGTGGTCTTTTGAGAAAATGATATTTAGCGACGGAGCGTCAGATATGCGCTTTGACCATTTTGTATTCGATCCACAAACTTTTTGAAACAAATCTTACCGATTTTAAAATAAGAAGGAAGAAAGTTGGATTTTATTGATGTTTGATGCCTCAGAACTCAGTCGTTAGTAAACCAATTCTAAAAAAATATTTTTCTTATTTAGAAATATATTGGAAGTTTGCCTTTGGTCTCATTGGAATTGGAATACAAAATACACGCTAAAGAATAGTACAAAAATATATGATGTAGGCTTACATTCAAGTCGATGATACTTATGAAAGTTAATTATCTAGAAGACCCAACCCTGTGCCTATATGTAGGTATAAATTTGTCAGTATTGTACATTATCTATCTTTTTGTAGCTTTTATAACTAACCACTTTATATAACTAATATGCCAAGGTGATTTTTTTTTATTTGTAACGCTTCCACCCCTTCTTCTCTTACTCAACTTCTCAAGAGATCATCAAGAAATTTTGTCGACACGTCGTCATTTACACTTAACCAGAAAATAAATTAATAAAAAACTAACATAATAAATCCTTTTAAAAAAAAAGTTGAACCGACTTGAAACAATATAATATAAACTAAATTTAATATAATCTAACATACTACAGTTTGGTACTACATACTTGCACTTTTCTACTCGTTACAAACATATCTTACAATAAAAATGGTAAAATAAATCCTTTTAAAAATAGTTGAACCAACATTAAACAATACTGACAAAGAGCATTAAAAATTAAAAAATAATTACAAATCTAATTAAAGAAAGCTTGGCACCGACTTCAAACAGACTAGAAGGGGCTATTGCTATTATAATGTTACCTGTTATATTGAGGGTACTTATAGTTATATACATACTTTTTTGACTTAGATTTATATTTTGTATTTTAGTGCTCTGTCAGTATTAAACGAGTTCTTGAGTGG